TAGGGTGAGTTAACATCAAATATTCCATTTTTAAATGCAAATCCCATGAATTCAAAAATGAAAAAAATATATAAAGGCAACCACTGAATTTCTTTCAATTTCACCACCTGAGTTCTCATAAAGGTGCATTTGCACATTAAAATAAGAACTTAACACAATCCTTGTTAAAAGTAAACAGAAATGGCAGTGTGCCTGAATAAGCACTAAAACAAAATAATGGTATCTTCATAATATTAGATATTATGGATGAGCAGCCAGAAGAAAGTCACTTAAACCAGTCAAAATTCAGCAAAGAAAATATTAAGAAATTGAGATAATGAAAAGACTTTTAGATCATTCTGCACACTGTATGCTATAGAACAATAAGTAAAAAATGGTAGATCCAGACGGCAATTTGATTGAGCATAAAAAGATGCCAAAAAGATTGGCTTCATGTTCATCTGATCAGATTGATGCTTGAAAGAGAAAATCTGGTAACGGCAACCCCCAAAATTTAATTTGTATAGTAAATTATTTGTAACTCTCTCCAAATGTTACACCATGTCAGTGACAACTGTATAATTGCAAGGAAGGTTAGTATCTAAGTACATATAATAAATTATGCTAACACCTGGTTTATTTTATTGACTATGTTAGTGTGTGTATATATATATATATATATATATATATATATATATATATATTGATTGATTGTGTGTATGCATGTGAGAAAGAAGTGTGTATATACACAGACAAAAGGTTTTATCAAATATACATGAATCTTTTTATCAAAGTATTTTGATGCCATGCCCTTTTCAAGACATAGGAGATCATGGCTCTCCACAGATCCCTTTTCTTTATTATCTGTGAATTGTTAACCACTTAATTTTAGTATATATCATACTAAAGAAAACACCTATGTATTTCATATTTCTCCAAATTTTATTTATATATATATATATTTTGTGTGTGTGTGTGTGTGTGTGTGTCTGTCTGTTTGTGTACTGTGCTTGAGTCTACAGCTGATAGCGTATGTGTATAAGAAGAGCTTCAAAGATTGTTAAATAGATATTGGCATGTTTACAAAGAGCCCTAACTGGAAAAAAGCTCACACAAGATAGAAAAATTTGGAGAAAACTTATCCATGAAGGTTGCCGATCATTCCACACAAGCACGTTGGACAAAAATCAAAAGGGCAGCTCATAAAGAAGAGCAAGTAGACCCTTGTTTCACACAAATTGTGTGTCAGAAATGTGGCAAAGTATACCTATCAAATAGCAGCCTTCATAGCCATCCGCAAAGACATGTTGCTGCTCATGCAACATAATTCAACAACTTCATCAATATAGAAACTTTTATATGTGCAGATTGTGACAAAAAGTGTAAAAGCCACTCAGGTCTTACAAGTCACTTGAAGGTACACAAAAACAATCCACCTGTACAGATCAGACAGAGTGAGTATGTTGTTAATGCAGCAGTGAATATAAGTCATTTGCTGACCTCAAAAGACACTGTCATTCCCACGGTCAACAATATATTGAGTCAATGTTACTTTGTCAGTGAGTTTCCCAAAAAGAGGTAGAAGTCTAATAGGCCAAGAATTGGAAGGATCAGACCACACAGAAGAGTTCTTAAAAACTGGAAAAACAGATGATGACTTCCAACAGGCAGGAAAGCAAGAGGCAACGAGGCATTTATTATAAAGTTTAGAGAGAACAAGAGCCAGTTTGGATGCACACTGCTAAAAGAACATTACAGGGTTACCATCGGGTCTACATGCTTTGTGAAGATCTTGGTTAGAGATGATAGCAGAAAACATGGAAGGGTTTATATGCAGACTCAGTTCTAGGAAGGAAGTTAAGCAGATGAGTCAAGAGTAAAGTTTGTGGAGAAGTTACGACCAAAGTGGGAGATAATGACATCTCATATTGATTGAAGACGGATTGAAGACACTTATTTAATACCCTATTACAGTGCCACCAGAAATTGCGAGATACAAAGTTCTTAGAGGCTATGCATTGAATCATTCTCTCAGCAAACAGGGACTTTGCTCCTTCGAGGACTTGCTTACATTGATTGTGAGCAACAACAAATAGGTGCCTGTTGTGATGAGATCCAACACGCTGGTATAGGCAAATATAGTGGTACCTAGGTGCTATAATGGCTGAGCATGCTGGTGTGAACCATGGAAAGAATTGAGGTTTCAAATGATATTTCTGAAAACTTGTATGATTCTCTCAATATCTCACTTCTGTCATGTATCTTATATACACGCACATTCAACTATAAGTAATCACTACCTATAATATTCTAAGTGGTAGTGTCTCTTTCTATTTTTCTGTCCCTAGAGAAAATGTTCAATAACAATTTGGTAGATATATTTTTTCTTAATTTTAGCTCATATACAAATAAGTTGCTTCAAATCTTGTCCTTTCATTCTCTGCTTGTTCTTATTCAAATTTACCACTGATTCTCAGAAAAAAAAAATTTTTTCTTTAAAAAGTCTGCTAAATATAAAAATCTTTTAATATGTGCCCAAGAACCAAAAACATTCTATTTTTGGGTTTATTGAAATTTCCAATTCTAAATTTTGACATCGCAAAGACAATATTCAAAAGCTGATTTTTAGATTTAGGTTTCCTCAGTTTGTAGAGCATAATAATGATCACAGCCGAAGATTACAACTTCGATGAATATTTTAGAAAAACTTTTTTAATCTTCTAGAATCATTCCCCTGTGTACATGTGTGAATATTTGTAAAAATACATCAACCACTGAGTAAAATCATTGCTGCTCTGACTACATTCCTCATCAGGAGAATGTGTGATCACAGTGTTTTGAGTGGTACACTTTGGTAACATTTATGCAACTGATTCCTGCCATATAATGCAACATTAATATGTCAGATTGGCCAGGCAAGGGCAGACAGATCATTATGAAGATGTTCAAACATCATTTCCCAATAAAGATTAGAAGAAAGAATATACTTAACAACTCTTAGCATTCCTGGAGAGCAACACACAGTGCCTTCTTAGCCTCACATTTTCAATTGACTTAGTAGAGCAACTATATCAAATCAATAGCTGCATCTTCTGCAAGGAAAGTTAGGTCACTGTGTTCTGCTAGAAAATCTTTCTGGTCAGAATCCATCTTGCACATTTAAAAAATCTACCATTGAATACTGCTGCTGCATCTGGTCTGGTGCTCCTGCTATCCATCTTGGGATTCCTGACAAAATCCAAGGAAGGATCTGCAATGTAATTGATTCTGAGTTGGCATCTTGACTTCAGTCACTTTCAAACCGACATGGTGTGGCTTCCCTCTGTCTTTTCTACATATATTTTCATGGCCACTTCTCTGGTGAGCTTTTTTCCCTAATGTCTCAAATACATGCATCTACTAGATTGGCATTTAGAACCCACGCATTTACTGTTGAAATACCTGAATGCAACAATTTCTTTTCTCACACATTCTGCATGTGGATCTCACTTCTGTTTACTTGCTCCTCTGATGAATAAAATCTTCAAAAATTTAAATTCAATGTTAATTGCCATCTTCCATCTTCTTGAATCCTGGTTATCTTTTGTCCTTTCCTGAATCCACCATTTTCTCAGGCTTTCACTTTCTGTAACCTCCTGCACACTAATGCCAGTTTCACCTTGCTTAGGGTGAAATGATTAAAAAAAGCAAAAACAAAAATAAAAAACACAAACTAAAATCACTCTAACATTACTTAAAATTTTTGTGTATATATGTTTACTGTTGAATATGACAGAAACAAAAATTTTTAAAGTTTTTCTAATGTTCTTGTAGTTTTCCTTTTCAGAGATCCAAAAGAGAATAGGAACTGTCTATAATGATTATCATACCAAGTGTTTTAGCCAATACATTAGCTATTTTGAAGGAATTCATTGTTAATGTGGTCTGACTATTTCCATAAAATTTAGAACACAAACAAATAAAACCATAATCAGAATGAACTTCTTGACTATCCCACAAAAGGGAAACATTAGAAAACATAAAATTTCCCTTGTCTGTCATGTTTAATGAATTGTGTATAAAAGAAAGGTTGTTGCCTATGATAAAAATATAGTTTTATGGTATGCTATATTCATGAGTTAAGTGCTCTATATCAGGGATAGAGTTTATGTAAATATAAAAGTGGACATTAAGGTCAACACCCAGTGGTAACAGCCTGCTTTATGCTTAAGCGTAATCATCAGACCATATACAAGCTTAAATCTCTTGGGAAGATGATTCCATTTAAGCATGAAACAGATTATCACTGCAGTGTGTTGACCTCAATGTCCAACATATATATATATATATATATATATATATATATAAGTCTGTGTGTGTGTAAGAGAGAGAAACTGTGTTGATATAGCAATCAACATTGGTATCTGTCAGTTTTGCATTGGAAGCAATCATCATATATATATATATATATATATATATATATGTGTGTGTGTGTATATATATATATATATATATATATATATATATATTTTCTATATATCAGGTTAATGAGAAGTAATTGAATGACAAAGTGGAAAGAATGCAATTTAATGTGTCTCACTCTTAAAAAAGTCTTCATCAAACTAATGTTCTTACTGATGGGATTATATATATTTAGGGGAGGGTATATATAAACATACCCATTATTTTCTTTATAATTCAGTTACCTCAAATATATATATATATATATATATATATATATATATGGGTGTGTGTGTGTGAGAGAGAGAGAGGCAACTGATAAGCCACTTGACCTGTTAAGAAGATTTTCCCAAAAAAGATCTGATGTCTGATCAGATTTTGGGCAATAGATTGGGCTGAAACCTTTTCAGTGCCCTTTCATGTATGTGATGGTGGTTGTGATAACAACAAAATTGGTGACCATTCATATACTTTACAGCCAGCATACAATACTGCTCAAAAAGCAAGCAATTTCACACCATTTGTTTGTTTTGCAAATAGACACAGTTTATAAAAGCAACAAGTAAGAAAACCATGCTTACCATTCTGCAGGAACGGTGCCATTGTTTTCAATTTGAAGAACAAAGACAGAAGGTGGACTGTGGAGTGGAGCTGCACTGAAGTTGAACTCAACAATGGCTTGGGTGCTGAAGGCAGGCAGTCTGTCAGTGCTAGAATGTGGAAACAATACATTTTGTAATAAACTGAAAAAACATTTTTTAATAATTTATTTCTTTATGAAATCAATATTATTGTTCGTAAATCCAAAAGCGCTTCACTCTTTATCAGATTTTTTATGAAGCATGTCTACAGCATAATTTTTAAATTTGTTCTCTCAATAATAAATTTACTTTTTTTTATAGATTGCCTAAGTACAAAACGGTTTGTCTGTAGAAAAATGTCTACTTTTGTGCTATAAGTGATATAAATTTGTCCGAAATGAGAAACAAATTGCCACATTGATTATCTATAAGATATATTTTGTATGATAGCCAACCAAGTTATAGAGAATAAAATCAATGTTTGCCTTCCCCTAAAGTCACAAGTGTGAAGATCAGACGTTTTTTAAATTCCATATTTATCTGTCCCAAGGTATCGAGAATATGCCATGGTCTTGATCTTTAGGAGTTTTTCATCATGAGGGTGAGGATAAACCTAATGCTATGAGAATCTACTATAAATATTTAATGTCTGAAGAATATGGACTCAATAAATATGCAGGAAGTTTTTATCTTTTGTTATCTATACATATCAATATTCCAGACAGAATACAAAACTTACTTTTTGCTTTATGTTATTTTAATAGATTTATGTAATTTAAATTTGAATGAGAATATGATAGAATATAGATATAATTGCCATAAAAGCTATTTTTCTAATAACACTGATTGGCAAAACATAACAAAATTGACTTTTAACATATATAAATAAAAGGTATATTTATGCAGGTAGAGTGTATCTAAAGAGGTTTTGCTAAATTCAACTGGCAAGATCTACTTGTTTTAGCTTTTATTGAATTTTTCTAATTTTCATATAAGATGTTATATACTTGCATTATTTACATTATTTTGACTGTTATCCTCATCTGCATTGCCATATTCACAACATTTCAGCCATCTTTATCTACTGGGCCATGTGTCTTGACAGTTGGTTAGATCCAGTGACTAGACCCAATGAGTTGTGAGTTCAATACCAGGCCACAACAGTGGTAAACCAAAACTTGGAGAATTGAGTTAAATAACTGAGACATCTGAAAGAGGCATGACACATGGAACTAGAACCATCTACTCATTTGAACAAAACAAAGGGTTCATTTCAAAATTCCAATCACCTGAAGCAGGCCAGAGCATACAACAGCTGAAATGTTATGAATATGGCAATGAAGATGAGGATAATTGTTCGACTAATGTAAATAATGCAAGTAGTCATAATACCTCATCTCAGAGATATAGACAGATATTGAAGGATTGGTATGGGCAGTGAAGATGAGGATAACAGTCCAAATAATGTAAATAATGCAAGTAGTCATAATACCTTATCTCAGAGATATAGACAGATATTGAAGATTTTATATATCTGTTATACCTGACATACCTATTCTATTATTAATAGACTCTCCTACACATAATAAGTAGTAGTAGTAGCAGTCGACAGTTGGGCTCAGTGGTGTTGAGTGAGTCAGTTGATGTTGGACATTGAAGTATCAACCATTACAACTAGATTGCTGCATCATTAACTCTTATTTCAAGTTCCTAACATTTTGTACATCGAACATTTTAGGACCGACTTAGTGAAGTACAAGCCTCCACTGTGAAAAACTACTCTACAACAATATCAGGATTAAAATTGTGGATAAACATTATTAAATTCAGGTTTTGTTTTTGTTTAATGACTGTCTCAGTCATTATCAAGAACTCAGCATTATCATTGTGGTTGACAAGATTACATTAGCTACACCAATAGCAATTTGTTTAGAGCGCATGAATTCAAAATAATCCATATTGATATCATGAATGCTTAAAACTTTTTGTTTATGGTGGGGGGAGTTCAATATGAGAAAGAGAGAGAGCATTTATAGTTTGAACAAAGGGATTAAAACTGCTTAGTGACTGGCAGCTTCACACATTAAAGATCATCAGAATACATGGTACTTCTATTTGCATCTGTGTAGGCTCTATGTATATAGTTTATAAATATAGATTATCAGTAGTGGGGGAAGGTGAACACAGTTTTTGCTGGGTTTTTTTTTTACAATAATGTTTATTTTTATAGTCCTGACCTAGAGTTACATTTGTTTTCTTTATTTTTGTATATTTTTCAGTCCTCATATCCAGTACTTGGTTTTAAATGGAGTTTTCAATTAATTACTATTTTCATGAAAAGACAAAAAACTCCTTAAAGTCAATATCAACACATATTTTTATTCATATGTTTCACTAATATCCATCAGCAGGGAACAAAATCCTACTGAAAATGCAATTCATTAATACTTTTGAAAATATCTCTGATAATACCAAATATATTGTTTAACTTAATTCATTTATTCCTCAAAGTAGTTATTTCATTTGAATACTGTAATTCCCCATGTATAATATGCACTTTTTTTTAAAAAAACAAGCAAAATCAGGGATGTGTATTATGCACAGTTACAAAAAATCTTCAAAAAATTGCTATAAAATAAAATAAGAATTATCATGAAACTCAATTAGAATACTATTATTCTATGTGTAAAACCATTTTTAAATAAGAGTAGGAAATGTTGACCATAATATTTTTTTTTATAGTGGTTTTCACCCTGTATAAGGCCCCGGAGCCACTCGAGGTAGAGGATTACAGTGTAAGAGGCACAAATTATGCAGATGTGTGTAGAAGATAATGGTTAACCCTAGAATTGATCAGTTTAAGATTGTAGTGATTGGGGAAGCAACCTATTGGTAATCATTTCCACAAGGCGGTGGTTTGTGGGAAGAAGCTGCTAAAGTGGAACTTCATCTCACCAGGGAAATACAAAGAGAATGAGGGTGGTTTGCTACAATGTGCATGGCATGGCAAGTCTTAACCATGAAGGTTAGGGTGGGTGGAACTGAGGCACATAGTTCATCTGAACACTCTCCATGGAAAGAGTGAGAGTTCAGTGAGAGTCTTCCAAGGTCTTGTCTAGGAGAAAAAGGTTGCAGAGTGGAAAATAATTTGTTACTTACAAAGCTGTGGAGATGCTTTTGGACTCTATTAGGAGTGGAAAGTGAAGACTGTGCAGCTCCTGACAATATATGACAGCAGTATGAAAATGCCCTCAACTGAACATGGGAGCAACAACAAAATTTTAATGAAAATGGATACATTTTTAATCATTTCACTCCAAGCAAGGCAATAATGCCACTAAGACGCAAGGGGTTACTGGGAGTGAAAAAGAGTGAGGAGAGTTTAGAAGGAACTGGAAACCCAATCCTAAACAGGAAACAAGGGATAAACTTCAACTCATGATTAATAGATGGTGAAGGACTGTGAATCAGAAACAGATAACTGAAATTTCTAGGGCACATAATGAAGAAAGAAAGCTTGACACCCACAAGAGATATATTGAAGGCAAGATAGACAGAGGAAAACGGTGAATAAGCTACTTATCAAGCTTGTGTAAATGGTTGGCAGAATAGGGATTAGGGGGATAGCAAAAAAGAGAAGCCGTATGAAGAATTAGAAAGGATAGTTGTCAGGAACCATAATCAAAAAGTTCCTGAGGGAACACGACACATAAAAGAAGAATGGTTTTATCTGTTAATTGATTGCAATTTTAGAGAAGGAAACCATTTATATAATCTTTTCCAAGGCATAATTTAACGTTATATTAGTAATGTGTTCATGATGAGAAACAACTGTCAAGGTATGAATACTGATTGTCATTATACACATATCCAAGCTGAAAATTTTCTCTCAAGAAAGATTATATAAAGATGTTGCAAAGATCATGTCTGAAATTAAAATGAGCCAAGCAAAATTAATTTGCATGTGAAATTGGAATATAAATTCTACTTTTCTTCATCCATAGATATTTGTAGCAAATAACATGCTCATGATTAATAGTGACTATTTTTATGATTCCATAATTGCAAATACCTTCTGCTTCATTCTAGGATCTATTGCAATTGGCAACCCTAATAGCATTCACTATAAATACAGATTAATATATATGTATAACTTTTTGTTTTTGTCATTGGCTTACACAAATATTCTTAGAAAGGAAGCATGATGTTTCAGTGGTAAATATTCTCCATATATGGAGATACATCAGTAGACCCATAGCCTCCTGATGAAAAAGCCATTAATTTATGCAATCAATTTTTTTCACATAATCTCTTTGTTAATGTAAATTACACAGCAAAACATTCAGATCAAAGTTCACCTAACATTCACACACATATTATATATATATATATATATATATATATATATATATATATATATATATATATATATATATATATACACACACACACTACAGTTTAAAAATTGTGGAAGCATACTCTGTATTTTCTTCATTCTGTCATTTTATCAAAGAGTGCTTCTTCTAGGAAAAAAACAAAACAAATCTGACTCTCAAAAATGGTAGTACTAGACAAATTCACCAAGTTCTCTTGAAGATTATAGAGGAAGGCATTTCCAGACTTTCTAGGCAGAGGTATTGGGTATTATGTGGAAATGAAGTCCATGTTCTCCTACATCAAGTTTTGGCATTTTAAATACAATAGATGCCACGCAAAGTCAAATCAAAGAAAGCTGGGGATATAGTGACAGGCTAATTGGAGAAAGATGGGAATATAGTGACAGGCTAAGTGGAAAATGATGGAGATAGTGACAGGCTAAGTGGAGAATGATGGGGATATAGTGTTAGGCTAAATGGAGAAAGATGGAGATAGTGACAGGCTAAGTGAAGAATGATGGGGATATAGTGTTAGGCTAAATGGAGAAAGATGGAGATAGTGACAGGCTAAGTGAAGAATGATGGGGATATAGTGTTAGGCTAAATGGAGAAAGATGGAGATAGTGACAGGCTAAGTGAAGAATGATGGGGATATAGTGACAAGCTAAATGGAGAAAGATGGGGCTATAGTGACAGGTTAAAGGGAGAAAGATGGAGATAGTGACAAGCTAAATGCAAAAAGATAGTGACAGG